CACCCAGGCAGCGGATGTAAAAGCCCGAGGGCGGCCGCAGCGCCCGGCGCGTCCAGCCCTCGCGCAGCACCTCCAGATGCTCCTCCTTGCCCTGGATCAGCAGGACCTGCTCGTCGATCCAGCCCAGGAAGAAGGTCTCGGCCACCGCGGCCGTGACCTTCTTGTTCCAGAAGTGCTGCATGTTCTCGGCTTTGAAGTCGGCGAAGATCTCATAGCCGATGTGGTGCCGGGCAAGCTGCCGAGCCTGGGTCGGGGGCGCAGGCTGGGCGGCCCTGGACTTCTCTCCCGCTGACCCTTCGGCCGGGCCCAAGATGATGGCCAGAGAGTGAGGCGCGATCTGAAGAAACTTCTCCATCTTCAGAGGCATCGACGTCGGCCGAGGGACCCCGCTCACCGCAGCCGCCGCCACCGGTCGTTGCAGGGCACTGTCGCGGGAATGTTGCTGTGCGACAAGCAGGGAGCATTAGTGCACCCCCCACGGCGGGGGCTCACCGCGCCCCCCCACACACACCCTGCGCCCCAACCGCCCGGGACGCAACGCGCTGCTTCTGGGCGCAGCCTGCGGACAGGCGCAGGGCTCGCCAAGAGGAGAAGCGAAAGGTGCGCGCAGCCAGCTCCCACCCAGGTCTGGCGCGCGTTACCTGCAGCTCCGGGCCACGCTCCGGGCACCACTCATTTTCCTGCGGCGGCACCCTCGCCTCCGTCGGCGCACAGCGGCCCTGGCAAGGGGCGGAGACGCGGGAGGAGGCGGGCAGTTTGCGCCGAGTCCTGGGAACCCTCTTGGCCGGACCTGGCTAAGGAATCCCCAGCAGTCCGATGTAGGCGGTGATCAAAGCGGCGCAGATGGCCGGGGCGGGGGGTGCATTTAGTTGGTGTGGCTCAAGGGAGGCCTGGAGGCCGTGGGCGACGCAGGGCGACACTTGAAAGGCACCGATTCCCGGCTGTGAGTGTCGCTCCTCCCCACGCTCCACCCCCACCTCCACCTCCCACCTCCTGCTGGAACAAGTGGATTCACTCTGACTGGTTGATGTGCCCTTGGAAGTGGCTTTTTAAAAAACTTAGTCAACCACGAAAAAATTATCATCAGTTCCTCCTTCCAAACCCTTATGGAACTCTGCTCTCGCATCTCCAATATTGTCCTCCTACTATAAAAGAAACCCAGCGATTCCCAGTGTTGTCTATACAACACCCAGTTTGGGAAGAGGATGCAGAAATTTACCAGGAAAGATAATGATTATGCTTTAAAAAATAAAATAACCTTCCTTTGCTTGTTTCTTTACAAGACTCTGTTTTGCTTATTTTTCTTTGAGAAGGACTATACAAGAATACCTTGGAGGTGTTTCAGGGTTCTGTTCTAGACCACGATAAAGCCAGTATTGCAATAAAGGGAGTCACACAAATTGTTTGGTTTCCCCGTGTATACAAAAGTGTTATTTACATTATAATGTAATCTATTAAGTGTGAAATAACATTACATTTAAAAAACAATGTACATGCCTTAATTCAAAAATACTTCCTTGCTAAAAAATGTTAACCACCATCTGAGCCTTAAACAAGTCCTAATCTGTTTGCTGGTGGAGGATCTTGCCTCAGTGTTGATGGCTGCTGACTGATCAGGGCTGTGGCTGCTAAAGGTTGGGGTGGCTGTGGCAATTTCTTAAAATAAGACAACAATAAAGTTTATCACATCCATTGACTCTTCCTTTCATGAATGATTTCTCTGTAGCATGTGATGCTGTTTGACAGCATTTTACCCAGGTAATACTTCTTTGAAAATTAGAGGCAATCCTCTCAGACCCTGCCACTGCTTTATCAACTAAGTTTATGTAATATCCTAAACTCTTTGTTGTCATCTCATCGATCTTCACAGCATCTTCACCAGGAGTAGATTCCACCACAAGAAGCAACTCCTTGCCATTAAATTGTTATTATTAAATTGTTATTATTATTCAGTCACATCTTTAAGCTCCAGTTCTAATTTTAGTTCTCTTGCTCTTTCCACTGCATCTGTAGTTACTTCCTCCACTGAAGTCTCGAACCTTCGAAAGTCATCCATGAGTGTTGGAATCCACCACTTCCAAACTCCTGTTAATGGTGATATTTTTACCTCCGACCATGAATCACAAATGTTCTTAACAGCATCTTGAAGGGTGATTCTTTTCCAGAAGATTTTCTATTTACTTTGCCCAGATTCATCAAAGTATCACTACCTATGGCAGCTATAGCCTTACAAAATGTATTTCTTAAATAACAAGACTTGAAATTCAAAATTACTTTTTGATCCATGGGCTGCAGAATGATTGTTGTGTTAGCAGGCATGAAAACATCAAACTTGTTGTACATCTCCATCAGAGCTCTTAGGTGACCGGGTAACTTGTCAATGAGCAGTAATATTTTGAAAGATTTAGGTCTCAACAGTGAGCTTAAAATATTCAGTAAACCATGTTGTAAACAGATCTGTTGTCATCCAGGCTTTGTTGTTCCATTTATACAGCACAGGCTGAGTAGATTTAGCACAATTCTTAAGAGCCCTAGAATTTATAGGATGGTAAACGAGCACTGGCTTCAACTTAAAGTCACCAGCTGCATTAGCCCCTAACAAGAGAGTCAACCTGTCCTTTGAAGCGTTGAAGCCAGGCACTGACTTCTCGCTAGCTATGAAAGTTCTGGATAGCAACTTCTTTCAATATAAATCTGTTTCATCTACATTAAAAATCTCTTGTTTACTGTAACCACTTTCATTAATTATCATAGCTAGATCTTCTGAATAACTTCTTGCAGCTTCTATATCGACACTTGCTGCTTTGATTTGCACTTTTATGTTATGGAGATGGCTTCTTTCTTTAAACCTCATGAACCAACTTTTGGTAGCTTCAAACTGTTTTTCTGCATCTTCACCTCTGAGTTGTCTCAGAACTGAAGAGAGTTAGGGCCTTGCTCTGGCTTAGGCTTTAGCTTAAGGGAATATTGTGGCTGGTTTTATCTATATCTTCTATCCAGAAGACTAAAATTTTTCATAGCAATAAGGCTGTTTTGCTTTCTTATTATTCGTGTATTCATTGGAGTAGCACTTTTCATTTCATTCAAGAGCTTTTCCTTTGCATTCACAACCGGGCTAATTGTTTGGCACAAGAGGCCTAGCTTTTGGCCTATGTTGGCTTTTGACATGCCTTCTTCACTCAGCTTAATCATTTCTAGCTTTTGATTTAAAGTGAGAGACATGCAACTCTTTGTTTCATTTAAACACTCAGAGGTCATCGTAGGGTTAATTTCATATTGCGTTTTAGGAAATAGGGAGGCCTGAGGAGAGGGAGAAAGATCGGGAATGGCATGTTGGTGGAGCACTCAGAAAATGCACATTTATCAATTAAGTTCACTGTCTTATATGGGTCAGGAATCCAGGCGCAATCCAGCTGGGTGCCTCTGACTCAAGGTCTCTCAAGAAGTTGCACTCAATCTAAGATTGCAGTCTCATTTGAAGACTCAACTAAGTGTGTATTCACTGTCATGCTCATTCACATGGACGTTGCCAGGACTCAGTTGCTTGATCATTGTTGGACTGAGGGCCTTAGCTCCTCACTCTCTGGAGACCCACCCTGTTCCTAGCAATATGAACTCCTTAACAGGTTGGTTCACAACATGCCAAATGGCTTTTCTTAGATCACCCAAGTCAGAAATTACAATCTAATTTTGGAAGTGACATCTCAACACCTCTGCTGCATTCTATTTGCAAGAAGTGAGTCACTAAAGCCAAACTCCTCCTCAAAGTGAAAGGAGTACACAAAAGTATGAAGACAAGGAGGTAGGGGTCGTTTGAGGTCATCTTAGAGGCTTTCTACCACAACATTTATAATCAGCCATGAAACTGTACCAGTGATCATCTGCATTATCAACCTCATTAACATCATTATTTCCATTTAATGACAACTCACTAAATGCAAGGCAGTGTGCTAAGAACTTTATATATGAGGTGATATTACCTGTGATTTTTTTCAGAAAATAGATATAATGGCAATCTATTTTTGAGAAACATAAGCTAACATATTTTCATTTTCAATAATCCTCAGTTCCCGATGTCCCACGGAATCCTCCATCCATGGACTCAGTCGTTTCCCCTCCATGTCAGTTCACCAAAATTTTCTCAAGAATATAGCCTTCTTTCTCTCTCATTGAACCTCCTCAAGCCCAGTGTCCTCTTGCAGTCCCTAATCCCCAGCTGCTGCAGTAGCGGGGAGTCAGCACAGAGATAAATTGAGCATTCCTTCAAATGCTGTTATGAAGATAAAATAAAAACCAGTCAGGGGAAAATAAATAAATATAGGGGAAGGAATAACCAAATAAACAACAATAGCTATAGCATGAGATTAATGCCTCGAAAGTGTTGAACAGGTGCATTGACAGAAAAAAGCAGGGAGGACCTACATTAGATAGAATACTGAGGGAAGACCTCTCGGAGGAGGGGGCATTTACTCCAGACCAAAGGATGTGTAGGAGCCCAACTCATCAAGACTGCAATGATCACACTGTTGGTGTCACTAGAAAAACTGCTGTGCATTATATCCCTTCAGAGAGGCAGCTGTGTATATTATCACAAAAGAAAGTGCAAATGTTTCTTGGCAAAGAACTAATATTTCCTTCCCTAGGTTTAGTATCCAAGACCTTTATATTGACCCAAGTAGAGGAAAGATTTCCTGATTATTTTCCAAGGAAAAATAGTCAACATTTATCAAATGCCTCATTCTTACAAAACTTAATACGGAGGAACACTTATCATTCTAATTTTTCCAAGGTCACAGATGTTAAGTAATTTTCTCAAGGTCAAGCAACTAATAGCTGAAAACCCAAGATCTGAACCAGATCTGTGACTCCAGAACCCATGATTCTTCAGCACACAGTACAGCCTCCAAAGAAACTAAGAACCTGGAAGATAGACTAGTGTTAATTCATTCTTGCATCAATTTACTAAGAAACAATAAATTTACTGAAATTCAGGAAAAACAATGAAGAGCTTCTTGACTATCTAATCAAATAAGAAACCATTAAACTCAACTCAAACACCCTGGGAAGTATATTTACCGCAGTGCAAGTACACTTGCACCGAAGTGCAAGACTGAGTGGAATTTTGTGCAGAATGAAAGAGCACTGTGAGTGGAATTCTGTGTCAGCATTTCTCCGCACTGCCTGCAATCAACTG